TGAAAACAATTATTAAACGGCAAATTTTGAAAAGGAGTTACAGTTCTACAAATACTTGAGAATATAAAAAGGAGGGGGGGCTAGGTTTATTTATATTATGGATCACATCAATGCGATACCCGGTATGACACTCCTCATAAGAGGGGATACACGTGGTATTAGCGCACCAGTCATCATATCCATATCTACCCTTCCCACCCTAGTTACGGTATTAAAGCGCGGATTGGTCTCGACCTCTATTGCATGCTATTACCCGTCCCATTCCTATCAGTCCCGGAGGAATTTAGGACTACTATTCCTATAAGAGGGAGGATTTTAGGCTGACTCTTGGGTTTTAAAGGTAAAAAGGCTAAGGCGACATACAAAACACGTAGGACTGCATATTAGTGGAAACATATAAACAATTAAGAGGCTCATATATACCTCCGCAGATAATGCACATAATAGCATGACTTAAACACAGTTAGGGTCAGAATTTAAAGTACTAAGTCATGGTGTTTTAATTGTTGAAGTAGACCAATTTAGTACATAACTCAGATAAGAAGTCCGAATCAGGCATGCATGCTGGTTGTAGCAGTTGCTAATTAGCAAAGGCGGATTTAGTTTTATCATTATTACCTAAGGCTTGCCTAAGTGTGTATTAGTGATGTCCTATGAGCATGATATCTATTACTAATTAGGAGTGCAGCAGAGCAGCGGTTAATTTTTAAACAGGTGATTTGGATCCTATAGGCATGCTTTCTAAACCGTATTAATAAAAGGAGTAGGTTGCTTAGACTGATTCAGAAGAGTACGAGTCAAACTGATTTATAACTAAACTGGTTTTAGATCCTATAGACATAATTTCCATTATAGCTAATTTTAATTCCTACAAGCATGGTATCTAAATATTAAAGGCTAACTTGGGTCCTATAGACATGGTGTCTAAATATGGAAGTAAAACATGCAGAATTTATTAAACAGATCCTATAAGCATGTTATCTACCCTTCTAATAGCTAAAGTATGCATAGTCATCCATCCCTTTTCACTAGCCAACCCCAATATTTGTTACGAATTATTACAGACCAAAAATGACTGAATTACATCAGAAAAGTGCAAAATAAGAAGTTACAACCATATGAAACCTGATTCTTGACTTCATCTCTGATTTATGGAATAAACAACCTCAAATGCTAAAGGTGTTCAAAGCCTTTCTTCACACCTGGGTGGGTCCAAGTTCCCTAAGGGTCTTAAGGACCCCGGGCAGTGCTTACACCTAGGTTTGCATAACCATACAGAAACGAGTGCAGTGTAGAAGGGTCAGCCCTTATGTGTCCAAGTTCAGAGCGAGCTCAAGGGTCCCAAGGCAAGGCTCACACAAGAGGGGCAGCACCTAGGTTCTAAAAATATAGTGGAAGTGCAGAATATAGAGATTTATTTAAAACTGGGTTGGAAATAGTGAGCAGTAAGGGTGATTTGGAAACAGTAGTGTAAAGCTCAAACTACACAGAATCAGTAGTTACATAAAGGGGTCAAAGGGGTTTTGGGAGTATATTGTATGAAGCATGTGACCCCAGAAAGGGTCAGGTTTGGGTCATGCACAGCAATATCTGATGCTGACATGCCCACAAACCAGCCAGAGAACACAAACACATAGAGGGGATATGGGGTTCAGGATTCATAAATCAGCAAACACATAACAAGTGACTGATAGAATACATACATAGGAAACATTAATTTAAAAGGGGAGGGAGCATATTACAGCATGCTAGTAATGTAACTTGACTGCATAAACATGAGCAGAAGCATGCAAGAGTGAAAGAAACTGAAACAACTAAAGAAACATGTTGTTGTTGATGCTTGAAAATTAACTAGGACATACCAATAGAGAAGCAAAGTGTAGAAAGAAAGAAATAAGCAAGATTCCACAGTCTAGCCTTGGCTTTCAGCCGGCTAGACAAAGTAGTAGCACAAGTAGTAGTAGAGAAAAGAGAGAAAGTTTTTAGTGTAAGTGTGTGTTCTAAACTCAATTTCTTTTGTTCGTGTCTTTGAAAGAAGAGGGGGTGGGTATTTATAGTTTTTGAAAATGAGTGAAAAGTAAGGTAATAAGTAAAGTCTTAACACAAACATGGAAACAATCACAAATCAGAATCAATTAACACAAGTGATTCCCTTTAATTAAGAATCACTGTTTAACGGGTAGTAGCAGGTTTAATTAAGGAAGGAAATCAGTTTGGGGACAGATTGATTATTGCCATATAAGGGGCAGTAAAAGCATGAAGTAAACAATCAAGTCTAAGTACAAAATAGGCTTATTTTGGGAAAGGATTCAGCAAGGTAAAACATCACAGTAAAGGGAAAGGAATCAATTAATTTTAAACAGGCGAGTAAAATTTGGGTTCATAAAACAAAAGCTTTTGCAATCAGTCCCAAGGTCAAGATCAATCACGGAAGAAACATGATTCTACACTTCAGTATATAAATAGAGTGAACAGAAGCATCAGACATGCTAGGCCAAGCATATTGGCAAAAGAGATAACACAAACATACAGTAGTGGCAGAAATAAGCTAGGATTCAGTAGCAAGAAAATATTCGAAGCTCAGTAGTCAAGTAGGTCAAGCAGTCACATAGAATCAATAGTGAAGAAGAACATAGTATCAGGTAACACTACAAGAAAATAGGTCTTTAACGATGGGAAATTCGGTCGTTAAAACTCTAAATCCAGTCGTTATCAATCAATTACGATGCGGTAAAAATCGGTCGTCGCCGGTCGTTAGTGCCTCCGTCGTTAAAGGTAAACGATCGGATTTTGATCCCATCGTAAAAATTCTTTTAACGATAGAAAGGAATCCAGTCGTTATACCAACATTAGCGAGGGGATTTTCCCATCATTAAATGTCGTTCCAGTCGTTAAACACTTCACTAGCAGTAACTAATTTTCAGTCGTTGTTAGTGTTTGGCAACCGGAATTCCATTCGTTAATCGTATGTACTTTCAACGACATAAAACCCAACGTCAACGACATAAAGTCCAAGTCGAACATTACGAGGTTCAGCGGCGAAAGACTGGTGAAGTTCATCAAACTTTTTCCATGCCATTGAGTTAGCTGGGTGCCTCATCATTCCATCATCAACTCTTTTTTCTTGATGCCATGTCACTAAAGATGATATCTTTGAGGACATAAACAATCTTTGGAGTCTTGGCTTTAAGGGAAAATAACGTAAAATCTTGTACGCTATCTTTTTCCCACTTTTAAATTTAGTTTCTCCACTATGTTTATCCTCTTTCCATCTAGATGCTCCACAAACTTTCAAGATTCAAGAAATTTGTCATCCTTCTAATATAACATGCAATTATTGTTACACGCATCAATCTTCTTGTAAGAAAGTCCAAGATCCCGAATTATCTTCTTTGCCTCATAATATGAATCTGGCAAGTTTGATTCAGCAGGCAATAGATCTTCCGTCAACATCTTCAACAACATTGTAAATGACTCATGACTCCAACGCCCAATACTTTTGATATGAAGCAATTTAACCATAGTAGAAAGTTAGAAACTTTTGAATTTTGGTACAATGGTTGCTCAAAATCCTTTAAAAGCCTATAGAATTTTTGTTCTTCAAGATTTGGTTCCTCCTCAAGAAAATCATCACCATCAATATTCGTATTGTCTGCATCAAAATCAGGGTATAAATCTCTTAGAATCCCATGTATTTCATCCTCACCATAAGCTTCTTCAATGTCATCATCTTCTACATCTTCTGAATTTGATTGTGGCTCACCTAACTTTTTCCCGTAATGATACTAAAAAGTATAATTTTGAATTATTCCATGTACTATTAAATGTGACTTAACCATCTCACGTGTTCCCGAAGATGTATTACAACATTTGATACATGGACAACGTATTACACGCGCTTCACTTAATCTTGTAAAAGCAAAATACAAAATATTGTCCACCCCAAGCTTGTAAGCATTACCAAGTCGGTCATGGATAAGTTCCATCCACTTCTTATCAGGTGCCATAATCTGTTGCATGTGTAATATATATATATATGTATATATGATTAAAATAATGTATTAGCCAGAAGTAAACATTTATTCAACAAGCCAAAAAATAAGCAAAACACTTCAACTTGTATATTTATCATGAATTGACAAGTTTTACGCTCGCCTATTTGTCTCTTCTATGGTTCTAGACAATTTCTTATCAAAGAACAATCGTTTATCAGTGACTGATCAAAACAAAACAAAAAGTGACTCAGTTTTCTTATCATGCATTTCTGAGTTTGGCAACCTAAATAGGCCTGTCCTTTGGAGATTATCTTTTTTCAGCTTTATCAAATGTTGGTATTCGCACGTTCAAGGTTGACGAACTTGAGATAGATGAAAAGGGATGTAAAGAATTGCAGAAAATAATTCAAGAATCAAGAATTCTCATTGTTGTCTTCACTAAAGAGTATACCTCTTCAGAGAGGTGCCTTGATGAACTTTTGTTTATACTTGAGAGTAAGAGAGCTTTTCGACGTTTTGTTCTACCCGTGTTTTATGATGTGGATCCCTCAAAAGTCAGGAAACAAAAAGGTAGTTTTGAACAAGATTCTTTAATATATGAAGAGAGATGTAAATCCGGGACCGAAGGAAGGAGACTGGAATTGTTGCATAAGGTAAAGGAATGGAAGGCTGCTCTAACAGAAGTTGCTGATTTGGGAGGAATGGTCTTATAGAATAAAACTGATGGGTAAACTTTTACTAGCTTGATGTTTATAGGTAGTTTTATATTAGTGGATTTCAAATTGTTCCATTGCAGAGTATGTGCTTTATTCCTGACTATAGATGGTATTAAATACAATCCAATTTTTAGGTGTGAGTCAAAGTTTATTCAAGAGATTGTGAAGGTGGCTGCATGAAAACTAAATCACGCAGTTTTAAGTGTTGCTCTCCATCCAGTTGGAATAGATTCTCGAGTTAGAGATATTCAGTCTCTGATTGAAATATGGATCAACTAGTATTGATATTATGGCTATATATGGGATGGGAGGTATAGGTAAAACTAAACTAGCTAAGACAACTTACAATATGAACTTTGACAAATTTGATGGCAGCAGCTCTCTTGCTGATGTAAATAAAACTTCAGAAAGACATGATGGTCTTGTAAGTATACAAAGACAACTTATTTCAAGTGTTCTGGGGAAGAAGGTTGTGAAGATATACAATGTCGATGAAGGAGTCAACAAGATTCAAGAGGCCACTCGATGCAGAAGAATTCTTCTTGTTCTCGATGATGTAGATTATAGAGATCAGTTAAATATTGTACTTGGGATGCGATAATAGTTTTATCCGGGTAGTAAACTTATCATTACAACTAGAAATCAGCACCTATTTGATGCTAGTGAGGTCTGCAGATGTAAGATGTATAAGTTCATGCCATTGAATGCCCAAGAATCAATTCGACTCTTCAGTTGGTATGCTTTTGGAAAAGAACAACCTTCAGAAGATCACAAGAACCTTTCAGAAAATGTGATACTTCATTGTAAAGAGATTCCTTTGGCTCTCAAAGTTTTAGGTTCTTCTCTTTGTGACAGAAGTATAGAGGTGTGGGAATGTGCATTAAGAAAACTAAAGGCAATCCCTGACAATAAAATCCTAGAAAAACTCAAAATCAGCTATGATTTACTATCAGATGATGATGTACAAAATCTGTACCTCGATATTGTCTGTTTCTTTGTTGGAAAGGATAAAGATTATGTAGTTACAATACTTGATGGATGTGGTTTTTCTCAGTAGTAGGACTTGAGATTCTTTCAGATAGATATCTGATCGAAATGGACAAGGATAAGCTGAAAGTGGATTCATTGATTCAAGATATGGGAAGAGAGCAAAGTCAGACAAAGAATAAACTAAAGCAGGTTATTCACCTAAACCAAATTAAAACATGTGACTTCCCCCTCAATCTCCTAGTTAAAAGTGCTGCTTAGAGCTTTTAATTAATCACCACAGGTTGGTGATGATTTATCATGGAAACAACTTAGTGAATTTTATACTGTTACTTTCTGCAATACTTCAACAATATTGATATATTTACAATTCATAGATTATGATAACATGAAAGTTCTTTTGAGCCAATTCATATAACCAGAGGTCTACTACATAAACGAAGTAAAATATGCTAACTTTAGTTGACTGAATAATGTGACTTTAAATTCACACAAAACATGCATAAAGCATTTTACCAAAACAGATTAGTGGCATCTCTGACTTAGCAGATCTTAATTATTGTATAGTTATTTTCTAGATTTCCTTAGCAAAGACGATCATCTCTTTCGAGATGAAAAAGTTGTAAAGAACAAAGCTAAACTAATCTCACTCATCAACTACATTAACCAATTAAAACACTGCTGGAACAAGAAAGAAGAGAAAGATTATGGACTTGAAGAACTAAGGAACACCACATCTAACCACATATTGTTACAAATTAAGAGGAAAATTTAATTCCTACAAGCATGTTTGATTCTTAAATCTTAATCTTCCAGCAAGCAAACAAATAGCAGGGGTACTACAAGAAGCCTCGCCATAAAGGGCGTCAATGTAACTATAAATCTAAAAAATATACATATAATTCTAAGAAGAAATCCAATATTTGAAAAGCAGAGAGATAAAAAAAGACACGATTTCACAATAGTTATTACTACAAGTTTAGCAACACAGATTCACCATTCTAACTTGACGGACGAAAACAGGGGGAGTATAGATAGAGTAACGGAGAGAGAACAGAGGGAGGAGATCGGAAAAGAAGCCAACAAAAAGATACGAAAAAGCAGAAGGAAAAATCATCCAAATATCATCCAAGCTCATCATTACCCTCTCTCAAAAATCCCAACACCTAAGTTCATCTTTTCTCTTCCTATCGATTAAACTCATCCCAAACCCAGTTGTTTTATTGGACAAAATCAGCTCAACATTAGCTCCAAAATAATCCCAAAACAACCCCAAAATGCAATAGTAAAACGAAAACTAAAATCCAGAAAAACTAGCTCCAAAATGCCACCAACATTTCAGCCGAAAACTCCATGAAAACAAGTTGAAAATCAGTCCAAAACATAAAACAACAACATTAAAGGGTAGTTATAATTTGACTTTACCTCGACGAGAAGGAGAACGGAATCCTATTAGCGTTGACACAGATTCACCAGAGAAGACAGATTATAAGCTAAGTACACAAGCCCAAATTTTTTTGTGATTATCTGTTGAATTCTGCTCTGCTCTGTATATATAGTGTTAATTTCAGAACTTCTTCGCCGATCGAGTAGTGGCCAGTTGCAGCGAGAGCCCTATTTGTTCGTGATTCTTTGCCTCTTCTTTGCTGAAGTTGTTCTGCGTCTTTTGGGATAGCATTTTAGGCGAGAGATTGTAGGGTTTTTTTTGATAATTTGGGGGTAATGTGCGGATAGTTAGTTGAGAAAATAAAGGAGGGAAAAATTAGAGCTTGTTTTTTGTTTTAATTAAGATTTAACGACGGGACTGACACAATTTGAAGGACCACAAATTATTCCCTCGTAAAAATTATAATAAAAAATAACTTTAACGACGACAATAAATATTGGCCGCTATAAGTACATATATAACGACTGGATTAATTTCCTTTCGTGAAGAAATGGTCATTAAAGATCTCTTTTCTTGTAGTGTAAGATAAATCAGAAACAAGTAAAGGTCTCACAGTAGTAATAAATGAGAAAAAATCCTTTTTTAAGAAATTAGGGCTTCGATAGTAGTCGAGTTTAAGAGATGAAAAGAACTTAAATCAGATAAGTCAAACAAGGAGAAGATATTCAAAAACAAAGAGCTTAAAATAAGCACACGTTTAGGCAAACAATTTCAGAACTCGGATAAAAAAGGAACTAGGGTTTTTAACATGCTAAAATAGATAGAAGAACAACATGAGCAAGTCGTTTTAAACATAGCAAAATCACGAACAATATTAAAATCAGAGGCAAGATCTTTAAAAAAACTTAAAGGAAAACCCTAATCGTTGAAAAATGAAGAGTTGTTTTGAAAGAAAATCGAGAGACCTTCACGAAAACACTTAAGAAGTTCGTAGTAAGCACAAATCTAAGATAGATCTGAAGAAAATTGAAAGATCTTAAAGATTAGGGTTTCAAAAAACCCAGAAAAGGTGAGAAAGACCTTGAAAGTTACCGATCTACCAAGGAAGGTCAAGGATCTGCCTTGAAAGGCCATGAATGGCCGGAGAAAGGCCATGAACAGAAGTCAAGCAAGGACTAGACCTTATCCCTTCGAGGTCTAGCCATGAAACCATAGAAACAAACACCCAGGAGCCATATGAGGTTGATACACATCTCCAATGGCCATGAGAGGCCATGGATTAAGTAGGGGTTAGGTGGATTAGGGTGGGATTAGATGGCGGAGGCTAGAGTTCGTGTGAGGTTTCAGAAAGAATTGAGAGAAGAGGGATTCAAAGGTGGCGTTTGGTAAAGAATAGGTAGGTTTAGGGGTCGTTTAAGGTTAAAAATGGAAAGGGCGAATATTGGTCGTTGATCTGAATGATCAACGACCTGGATTAAAGAGGATATGTGGGGAATCCGGGTTGGGTCGTTTAACTGGGTTAGGGGTCGGGTTTGAATGGGAATTGGGCCGGAGAAATTGGGTTTAATTTGGGGTCAGATTTAGGCTAAAATTGAAAGGTAATTGGGCTATTATTTAAATAGCCAATTTTTCCCTTTTTAAATTATAAAAAATAGTAAATTAATTTCTGAAAATAAATTGAAAGCACAAAAATAATTTATGACATATAATTAATAATTTAAAAATATAGGACTTAATTTTATGAATATAAAACACAATTGAATCTTAAAAGGGCTAGTATTGTAATTATGTGTAATTTAGCTTAAAAATACTAAATAAATTTGTAAAAATATGCAAAAAAATTATCTTAGCTATATTTTAGCATAAATATAAATGTCCAACAAATGAATTACCAAAATAATAATTTTGAAAATAATTATTGGGTTTTTATGGATAGAAAAAGGAAATAAATTGGTTGAAAAATCTTTAAAAATTATGGAAAAATAACAACACACTTGGATATGCTTACATATGCATATATATGCCATTTTGAAGTTATTTTGCATATTGAAAATATGTAAAAAAAAAATTGGGTATCAACAATGGACGGACAAGTGGGAGGATAAGGAGTTTATTGATATAATTTTTATCGGATTCCGAGACGTGGGCCCGGGGGTCGGGTTTGGTTAATTTCAGGATTTGTATTATAATTTGATTATTTTCGCTTGGGCTTCGTTCCCTTAACATATTTTGACGTCATGATTCTAATTTTTGATAGATTTGAGGCAAAGGTATCGCGGGCTAGAGTTTGGCCCGGATAGAGGTAAATAATGATTCTAAATGCTATCCTGAGGGTATGAAACCCCGGATTTCACATCGTTGTGCTATTTTGAGGTGACACACATGCTAGATGACGAGCGTGGGGTCGTGCACCGTTGGGGATTGTGACTTAGTCCGTCCCGTATGACTGTTTAATCGCGTATTTGATTGAAAGCTGTTTGCTATCATCATGTTTTGGGCTGAAATCCATATTTGGGCCCCGTGCCAACTGTTTTGGACCCTTAGGGGACTTTTACTACTATTCCTCATTGTTTTGATTTCATATTTGTACTCAGTCATGCTGTATTCTGCTATTTTTATAACTCAGCCGTATTTACTCTATTTTGACATCTTAAATGATATTTTGGGCTGAATATCATATTTTATTGTGCCCGAGTGGCTTTTAGAGATTTCTAACTGAGTGAGGTCGAGGGCCTGTGTTGTGAGGTTATTATGAGATCGAGCTGTACGCTGCAGCGATATTGTACTGATTCGTGATTATGAGGCTGAGGGCCTGATTTGTTACGCAACGAGATAGCTTGTTATTGCGCGTGGGCCGTAAGGGGCACCTCCAGGAGTCTGTACATCTTCGGTGAGCGCGGGTACCCAGTGTGAGATGTGATATAGCCTGAGGGGCTGATGTTGTTCCATGTTATTGCTCGAGGGGCCGGTACGAGTGATTGTGAGATAACCAAGGGGCTGATTCTGTTGGTATTTTGCCCGAGGGGCTGATTTTATGTGACTATCTTTTCTCACTGCTTTTCATTCACTCGTTTAAACTACTAAAAGATGTTTTAAAGAGGTTTTTACTGAACTAAGATGTTTCTACGAGCTTTTACTGTTTTATTACATTGTTCTGGTTTTATACTGCCTCTTTGTAGCATTTTGCTGTGATTTACGTGTTTTCTTATCGCTCAACTGCCTTTACTTTTATTACTTACTGAGTTAGCGTACTCACATTACTCCCTGCACCCTGTGTGCAGATTCAGGAGTCTCGGGCCACGCTAGTGAGGGCTGATTTGCTTCCACTGCAGGCTTATTTGGAGTTGACAAGGTAGTTGTTCGGCATTCGCAGCCCAGTGCTTCTCCCTCATATCTTTACTTTCCTTTGTCCTAGCTCTATAATAGACTATGTAGTCCTTTTCATACTCTTAGACGGATGTTTAAATGCTCATGACTGGTGACACTCCGATGTCGGGCGATGTTGTTTCCGCAATTGTTCTATTTCACTCTTTATTTTGGGATTTATAGTATATAAATGACTTAAAATGAATTATTATAACTATTTAATTGGTTTGAGGATTTGTGTCGGCTTGCTTTATTTCACGATAGGCGTCATCACGACCGCGTACGGTTTAGGGTCGTGACAGCCGGCTACAGCTGGA